GCAGGAAGCTTCAATAGCGCTAGACGTGTGCTACTAACCCCCTGCAATCTTTTCACATGTAAATTATGATGTATTAGCTTTTCTACCTGTGGTTGCTAAGCAATTTAGCAATGTGATCACTGTCTTTTCTCCAAGTTTACACACACACAGAAAAGAAGTAGCAGTTGCCTTGTCTATCATTTGCATGATTGAAGATACAAAGATTTGGTGAAGGTTTTTTAGAACAGCTTGTTGATATAGCAGTTAGTACCTTCTGGAGAGGAAGGAGATGTTAGTGTTGTATGTTATGGTAGAGAAGCAGAGAAAAATGTTTCTCCACATAAAAGAGAGTCAGGTGTACCAGAACCAGTTTTAGCCTCAGCAGTGGTTCTAAGAAACCAAGAGTACTCAGAGACTCTGCAGAAATATTCTGTGGTGTGTTATTCCTCCTATGGATAACAGTGGATTTTTTAATTAGGTACAGATGGCAAGGAGCTGCAAAGCTAATTCTTATATTCTAAAATCTTCAAAGTCTTGCCATATTTGAACCTACCTGAACCTACCAATTGATTCTGGATCCATGTGACCACTTGCAGGGTCTCTGCAAGTCTCTGAAATATCAGACATAATTTTTTTATCTTGTCAAAGGGCAAGTTATGAAAATATGTTTATATTTTAGTTATTTTACTGATGGATATGATTTCAGAAAAATTCGAAAGAACATTACCATTTTACTGCCTCCTAAAAGTCATTATATTTATGATATTTTTCCCAGAGAGTATCATAACAATTCTTATTTGAAAAAACAAGAGGCATTATAAAACCACATGGTTTTTCTGTGCTTAAACTGATCTTTAACTTCTGCTATTGGGTGATTATTCTGAATTCAATCTATGAGTAAACCGGGGCTCAGAGCTTCAAGTCTGCGTAACAATTCCGTATGAAAGATATGCCTGTCATTTAAATTTTTCTGTTCATTGTTGTTCTCTTTGCTGGCAGTTCTCTGTTTTTTCTTTAACACTCAGACACTCAAACTTTTTAACACACTGACTGTAATTTTATCATCATGCTGCTTTTATGAAATTTAGTCAAAACACTTGTAAGAAAAAGTATGTGAAAGCAAAGTTATATATATATTTTTTTTCCCCTCAGCAATTACATCTTACAAGGAATGACCCCAACGGCAACTCCATGATAGCCCAAAAGAGGGTTAACTTTGTTAAAATAGCTGGCCTATCAGTGTGGTATTCCACAGTGCTAGCTTTCCATAGCTTTTGAATTTTGCCTGCATGCTATCTCTTATAATTTTCATTAGCAAGGCTATAAAATTGAGTAAAACCTACTGAGTACCTTCAAAAATGATTGTCTTAATATTGTGATATAAAGGAATATCTTGAGTAGATCTGTTGCGACTTGCAGTTATTTCAGGGAAACCTTGCCTAAATGTCACTGTTATCAGCTGTTCCTCTTTTTAAAAGCTTCTGTGCCAACATACATCTCCGAGTGCCTGCTGTGATAATGGTCACTGAGAGCTGATGTCTGTATCATGTACATAACTGTTGTTTGGTAGTTATGGGCAGTTCTCAGTTCTCAGCACTTTTGGATGAACCCTAAACATAAATTCTCCTCTATCATAGTTAGTTTATTCTGTTTATTTTGTCACTTTCAAAAAGGAAAATTTTGAACCTTCTGTCTACTTGTTTAAAAATATAGCCATTAAGTTCTTTATCGTGAGTGTGCTGGATTGCTACATCTATAATTTCGCAGACATTTCCCTAGTTAAGAAGAGTACTCACCTTATCAGCTACAGTTGTTGAAAATCCAGTTGTAATCTAAAGGCTACTCAATTAAGAACACCAGGATCCCCACACAACACACTGTTAGACCAAACACCATCATTAGTAATGGGAGAAAGTATTCTGTGATGTGGAGGAAAAAGTAGTGAGTGTAGGTGACAAAGATGGTCCTTTTCCAGCACTCAAATCTGTCAGTTCATCCAGAAATCCTCCGAAGTCTTCAGGAGAATTTATTTTTTAATCAAAATTTGGGTTTGAATTCTCTCATGTGCTTGCTTCAAGAGACGCTCTTGCCAGTCCTTTACAGATGATGCTACAAAAGCCATACTGCAGCTGCTTGGCCTAATTCATAGTGCAAGAGCTTCCATTCACTTAGGTAACGTGCCTCTTTCTTGTCTCTGTACTCACTGTAGTCTTACTCTATGCAGCTTACTGATACAGAACAATGTAGGTGTTCAGTTTGGTACTAGATCTAATCGGAGTCCTCCTGGACACAATCCAGGACTGTCGTTCCAGCCAGTCACCCCACTTCTCATTTCTTCAGTTATTTCCCATTAAAGGAAGTATCAAAGTACTTCCTGCCTTGTTCCCAGAAGGAGACACTGAGAATATAAAGGTTATTCAAAATAATTACCTTTCAAATTCTTCGTGGCTACTCTTGTAAATAGATTTTCACCATGCTGTATCTCATTTTCCTAGCCCCTATTGTGATTCAAGGGGATTAATATTTTCCTCAAAATCCATTCCCTCCACTCTACTACATTCCACTCTCCTACTCATTTTCTGTTGCTATACATTATGAAATCAGAGCAAAGATTCAAACTGTCACAGTAATTACTGTTATTTAAGGTTTGGGGGTTTAAAATATTTTCCCATTTCTGCTAAATAGGCAGAGGCGATATCCATCATTGTTTTGCTTTCCCACTCTGTCTCATTGTGTAATTAGGACAGCAACACCTTGTACTTTAATGCCTTGGTCTGCCCATTTGTCCTTTGCCTTATGCTTCAGCATATAATTTCTCTGAAGCTGTTTCTCTGATCTGCTGTCCTCAGCAGTACTCCTTGGAGCTGAGGCATCCCAGTTCATTTGGTGTCTCCGAGCAGCTGGAGCTTCCTTTCCATTGCCCTCTCAGCTCTGTCCTTTGCAAAAATTGTTTTGTCTGATTACCTTAATTCTAATTTTGTCTCTGCATCTGATTACACATAGTTATTGATACTTTGTTATGTTAAAGTTAGTGATAAGGCTAGGTTTTTTGAAGGTCCATGTATCTACATAACACAACTGGATTAAAGATTGCCCATCTTGGAAACCTGCTGAGGTTCCTTTGTATCTTTGTGTTATCTTCAGGTCACCAGAAGTGCTGGAGTAGCTTTATGTTTCTAATTATGCTTGGAACTTCAAAACAATTTATTCACTGCAAATATGACTCTCTCTCATCCTAGTTGCTTGGCTTGTGTTTTGTGGCAAAGCTAGTGAAAAGGTTCTGCAGCTTGATGTGCTTGATATGCTTGATAAGCCTGATACAGTTTCCTCACAGTTGTTTTATATTGTTACCACTGAGCTCAGGTGATTTAAGAAAATCAGCCTCCCCTTAAATAATAAACTGGAGCAGCAAATCATGTCTTATTCTAATGTGTCCCTTGCTGATTGCATGCGATGGAATCAGCTAAGCGCTCTTAGGAAAAAAAACTCATGTTGATAAAGACAACAGCTAACTGTTTTGAAGAGTGACAAGTGCAACCTCTGCAGCCAATCATCATCACTTTTTTCAAATCTGATGACTGTCAACAGTATAATGCATTTGGTGTGTGTGTTTTTGTTTTATTTTCTGCCAACCTAATCTCCATTATGAGATAATATTCTGGAGATTTTTCATCAATACCTTTAGAAATCGATTGTCTCAGTGATGCAGTTGAGTTACACTTTCAATTTAATACATGACCATTTTTTTCTGTCTCACAAAGCCTGTTGTTTGAAAACAAAGGCAAAATTGAATTCAAAATAATTCTTCACTTTTTGTCATTATTATACATGCAGAAAACATCTCCATCTACAAAAGTCTCGTGCCATCGTGAAATCTACTTATCTTCATTGTATAGCATTGATTTACAATATTCAAGCTTCTAAATGATCAAATGAAAGAATTATAGTTTTTGGAAGGTTAAAACAGACTGGATACCTACTCAGTTTTTCTTATAGAGTCCTCTTAAAGAAAGTAGACTTTTTGTGCTGATTCTCCAGTATGTACAAAACTTGACGTGTTGTGCTTTACACCACCAGCATAAGTGGTGTGAAACGATCATTGAGCTGCCATGAAAGAGCAAGAGAAGACATAGAGCAGCTATGCCTAATCCCAGATCAGTTTTAGAAGCCTTCTGCAGAGCACACCTAGCATGAACCTAAAGGGACAATGTAGCCCGTTCTTTGGGTGTTACTAAGTTATTGGCTAAATAACCT